TTGAGGGCGACCCTCTGGAGCTGGATTCGGCGCGCCTTGGGAGTGAGCCTCTGGAGCTGGAGTCGGAGCGCCAGAGTCGGAGCGGCCATTAGTAGCAGGACAGCTTGGGGCATGTAGAGAGACTTGCTTTGACTGCCGGCACAGCTTCTGGAAGAGGACCAAAAGAGAAAGCACGGCTTCTGGAAAAATACCCCGTTGTACTGGCGTCCGGGGTCAGTACCGGATAATTTCCAGGGACTGACGGGTTTTTAGCCAAAACCGGTGGATAAATTTGAAGGCCAGAGGGCCAACATAAGGCCCCCCCAAAAAAAAAGTACACAACCAGTGCAGATAGATAATTTTGAGAAGGCCTGAGGTTAGCAAGCTAGACGAATAGGATCGAGGAACCCCCCCAAAAGTAGATGCTAATCGACAAACGAGACAAAAAAGAAACGATCCCAGGCCCAGGTTTTTTTCCAACGCTCTATGTGCTCTGTGGTGGTCTGCAAAACTAAGGATTGTTGCGGAAGTCTGCAAACCTTAGAAGGTTGGTTGTGGTTGCGGTTGAGGTTGGTTTGGAATCAATGGATCCAACCACTTGCAAAAAAATGTCGATTGCATGGCCCGCAGTGCTGGTCGAACTGTACATTTTGGCCGGTATTTTGTGGACTTGACAGCCGCTCTGGACTTAGGAGTGCCAGCGGGAGTTGATCAGGGTTACGATGCCCAGAGCGACCGGGAAGCAGCTTCTTTGTTGAACGGAACTTCTGCATTGAAATTGCTTTGTCATGTCCAGATGTCAGCGCACCTTTTTTTATATTCGCTGCCGTTGAGCAATTTTTTTTGAAAGCCCTCCAGACCTAGCAGAAGCAGCAGAAGAAGATTAATTTCAGCGTGTCCCACAACTTGTCATTTGTATATCTCCCCAACCTCAGCACCAAGGAAAATATCCAGGTTGTTTTAGGACGCACATGTTTCACACGTGTCCTTTTCACAGGCTGCGAATCTCATGGAAGACCTGGTGCAGGATCCCGTGAGGCCCCACCACGATTTTTCAGACTCCTCATGTCGAAACACAGGGTCCCACTGAGAATGATCCAGAGCTGAAAGGTGCTGACCAAGAGTGCTTCCACTACACAGAGGTACTAGGTGATCCACACACTGTACAGGCGTGCTACCCACACTTTTCACACCCCTTCTTGGGTCACCTCGTACCTTCTCCTGGTCTTCCTGTCTTCTTCTTCTCTTCAATTCGTTTTCTCTGAGCAACTAAGGTTCGAGCATCAACTAAGATCTCAACTCCTGTGGTTCAAAATGGTCTCCAGGTCGATCAAACGTCAACGAAGCGAGAACAACGAGCTTCAAGCAAGTTCGAATCAAGATCAACCAATCAACCATGCTTCAACCAAGCAAGCAAAGCAACAAGGATTCAAGGTCCCTCAGACAGCAGGGCTTCAAAGAGCTGCACGGAGCCAGCTCTTCGCCTCTGCTTCTGTCATCACTGGGACCCTGAAACCATACAAGGTCTCAAGTGGTCACCTGACAGGTCAAGCAAACGAAGATTCCTGAAGACAAAAACCTGTCACATTCAACGTGCCAAAAGCTTCACACAGCATCAAACAGCAAGTAAAAAGGAAACTAGCCAACCCTTGCTAGATACAATCCCTGGGCTACTGTTCGACTTCCACAGCACGTCTCAAACTTCCAAACCCTTTTTCTTCACTTCAACTGCAACCAATCGACTCGACATCAGAGGTCACACGGTCCAAAGTTCACAGCAATCAAAGGAAGCTAGAACCCCTGCTAGCTACAAACCCTTTTCTACTGTTGGCCATGATCCCTTGAGACATCACTGATTTTCACAGTTCTCAACCCTTGATCTCTTCTCTCGCTGAACTCCTGACCTCATCCCTTTTCATCCTGGCAAGTTCAGACATAGCAAAGCACAAAACTTCAACCCTTCAAGATCACACACGTGCATGCCCTTGACTCAACAAGAAAACTTGAACAAGACATCAGGAAGCTCAAGTGAAAGTCAACTGAAGTCCAAACAGGGTTCAAACTGAATCTCACAAGATCAAATTGAACAACTGCAAATCAAATGTCAAATCCCTCTGAGCAAACCCTTTCTCCACCAAGGTGGGCTGGCCGCGGTCAACAAAAAATGGCCTTTACACTGAATCTTACATCCCCTGAAGTCGAGGCATCTTGATCTCTTCAAGATCACACATCTCCTTGACCGGGTTCCGCCCAAGCCCAGGAGCCGTCGGCTAATCTCACCCTCTTCCAGTTCCAGTGTGGTGGAGGCGGACCTCCATCTGATCCCGAAGCGGATGTCGCTGGGGTCATAGGGGTGCTGGTGCACCCCGCTGCTGGCGTCGTTCCATAGTTCTGACCCATGAAGGCCGGAACCGGAGGAAAGCCCGATGGCATCGGAGGCGTAAGATTCGTGGGCATGAGCTTGGGGGCCGGCGGTGGCGATGTCGATGCCACATGGCCGGTGCCCAAAGTAGCTTGCGGAGCTCCACCGGTCGTCGGAGGAGTCACCAAACCGCTTGGAGCAGACCCTGGAGGTGCGATACCAGGCACGCTTGCTGGGGTAGTCGGCGTGCCTGCCATAGATGTGGCCTTTGCAGCCTGCGACATCTGTGACACCAATGTTGACTTCTTCTGCTCTACAGAAATCAACTCTTTCATCGACGAGCACAGCATTTCAAGAAGCGTCGAGATCTTCTCGAGTGACTTGGACTGCTTGGTCACCGTGCCGTCCAATTGGCTCACCACCTTGGATACGCCCATGATCACCTCCTTCAAGGGCGTATTGACAGTCTTGCCAGTTCCACTGACCTGCCATAGGGTGTCCGACATGGCCTTGCCGATTTCAGCATCTCATCCTGGCAGTGCCTTACTGAGCTAGAAAGCCCCACAATGCCGTTTGCTAAATCGTGCAACTGGGTGGCAGTGGTGACAAAATGCTGCTGCGTCTTGGCATCCGACTCTGAGAGCTGTCCAACATAGTCTCCCAGCTGACCGAACAATTCACTCAGCTTGGAAAACCTCCCAACGCTCCAACGGAGCAGGTCGTGCAATCCATCCGTTGTGCCCAGCGTGGTATGTCGAACACTGTCTGGGAGTGCACTGAGGGATTGAAAATACACATAGCCCCAAAACGTGGCACCGGAATGCTTCGGACCCTTCACAGCCTCTTGAGGAGACCAGGGTTCCGACGGATTCTGAAGACTATGGTGGCCTGTCCCATGCCGATTTGGCGCGCAAGCACCAGGGGATGGTGGTTCGGCTTCAGCCGCACCAACTGGTCCATCTGTGCCTTTAAGCGGTACACATTGTCCTGGGCCAGGTCCGCGGCCCGGTGCCAGCGTTCGGCCTCTGTTTTCGATACCTCATAGCAAACGTCGTTGATGAGCGACTCAGCTGGCTCGATGGATGACAACGAGAGAGCAAGGATCTCTTCGACCGGAATCTCAAGGAGGTCCTTCCCCTCCAACAACACTCCATGCACAGTGCTCCCTGAGATGTTCGGCTCGTCGGGAACAAACACCGGCGGTGGCGGGCCTGCCGGCCCTGCGGCTTTCGCCACAGGAGCTTCCAGCACGGACCCTGCCGCAGGAGGTTCCATCACGGACCCTGCCGCAGCGGGTTCCTCAGCAGCATCCATAACACGTACTTCTGGAACTGCCGGAGAAGACATGATGACGGCAACACCGAAAGATGAGGTCCAGGCAACACAGGCTAACAAAAGTCGAGCTCGAGCACTGAGCCATGCAATCCCCGCAAATGAAACAAAACACTTCGACACACATCACAAAGAAAAGGATTGTTCTAGACCCTCAAAAGATTACAACCCTGAAAAAGGACATTGCTTCACCCTTTTGGACAACTGCTTCCAAAAACCCTGCAGCGACAGAAAGCTCAAACTGTCTTCTCTGGCGTCTCAACCCTGCAACCCTGGCATCAAAACACGACAACTGTACACGCCTGACACTCAAACCCCTGATCTAGCTACTCATGGTTCGCGACTCCTTATTGCAGCTCACATCAACGGTTTCCAGTGTCCTCAAACACAAACAAAAACCCCTTCGCCTGGTGCAAGGCCACCAGTCGACTTCCTTCTGCTGCCTTCTTAAGCAAAAATGGCCGCGGGCGTTCATCACTCAGTTCCACTGTCTCAAGACACAGAGAACAGTCCAAACAAGGAAAAAGTTTCACAGCAAAAGGTTTCTACAGGTCAAACGTCTCCATTTCCTTAGGAAAGAGGTAGCTATCCGGACATTCGGTGAAGCAAACAGGATTCCTCAGTGAATGCTCATCCAGATTCCAAGAAACGTGCACAACGCAAATTTAGCAAAACTCAAAACACTGCACCACAGAACAGAAGGCTCCTAAATCAACAAGAAACAGTCATCCTACACCTCCGAACCTAGTCGGACCTCAACGACTGCTCTCGGACACGTCCTTCCACTAAAGTTCTGGCTACTCAACAAGAGGTTCCAAATCCACACGCGGCACACAAAAGACAACCGAAACTCTTCCGAACTCATCCGGACGGATCCGAACACAGACGGACAACAACGAAAACGGACAAAACAGATTCAGAAACTCTCCAATGTCAACTTTCTGCTGGAAAACTGTTCCGGAAAAAGTATTTTCGACAAAGTTCAACTTTCAACAGGCGCAATGCCCAAATCTTCCGTCACCTTTCCGAGCACCAACGGACGAAAAATGCAAGAAACACGCACGATGAGCATACTCCCCTTCTCGAACTGAACGGTCACTGGTCGGAAGTTCGTCGTCAACATCGGCGTCTCGAGACAAGCCCCTCAACAATGCTGCCTTATCCTCTTCCAAACCAGATACAAGTCCTACAGCATTGCAAAGGTTCAGCCACATCTCGATGAGTTTGCAACTTTTCGTAAGACCGTCGGACGGGTTGGAAACACCTTCCCAGTGTTCCAAGGTCAAGCGACGTCGTCGATGGAGGTACTTCACATAATGCGCTCGCAGTTCCATGTGCTTCACACGTCGAAGTAAACCCTCCATGGTAGTAGAAATGGAAATAGCCGCTTTCCCATCGTTGTATAAATGCAACTTCATGCTTCCTGTGGTCTTGGCTGGCATGCCGATCTCATCAAAAGGGATCCCGTCACGCGCTGTCTCGATCAACATCCCCAGAGCTACAAGTTCTTTGCTAGCCTCCGTGATGGCGATCGCTTCTGCCTCTGCAGACGACAAAGCGGGAACCTCCTGTCTCCTACTAAAGCACTTCAAGCAGCATCCACGCCAAGAGATCACAGCACCAGACACGCTGGTCACATTCCAAGAAGCGTCACAAAAACCTACAACGACCCCTTCTTCAGTCAACACGGGTGGTGAACTGGCGGGCATCTGCTGCACAAAATGCAAATGACCCTTCAACCAACGAAGAAAGCTACGAAGACAAACCTCCGCGGGGACATGGGGCTTCGACTGAAACCTACTCAAAAACCCAACAGGAAAAGAAAGGTCTGCCCTGGAGAGTGCTGCCCATGCAAGTTGTCCCAAGACTCTACGGTAGCGCTGGGCTTCCGTGGCGGACAGTTCGGACGTCCCGAACTTTTTCTCTGCATCTTTAAGCAGCTCCTCCAGTTTGGGCATAGCCGAACCAGTGGATTCTTTGAGCTTCTCTTCCCAAGACACGAAGATTCCCTCCATGTAGCTTCGAGACACTCCAAAATACAAACACTCCTCGGCATCTTGGAGCCTGTAGATTGTGCGGCCTAAGAATTCAAGGAGTCCTTTCTTCCCAGACGGAATACTTCCCGTGCGTTTGATCTTCCAGATCTTTTGAAGAGCACGCAAGAAGTTCTCACCTCCTTCAACGTCGTTGCTGGCTATAAGCAAGTCGTCAACGTAAACAAGAACCAACAAAAACTGGGTGTCGGTCTTCACTCTGAACAACGCTGATTCAAAGGTCTCGTCTCCGCCCAAGTCACGGATCGTCCTCTGAAGCTCTAAGAACCACAACAATGGAGCACGTCTCAAGCCATTCATGGCCTTTTTCAGCCACAAGATGACTCGTTGGCCCTTCACAGTGATGTTCGCAGGAAGCAAAACCAAATCACACGCATCAGCTTCAACACGCTGTCGACACGTCAGCTGTAAGAAGGCTCATGCTTTCAACCACTGAGAAGGCAAGGACCACTCGCAGTGAGTCTAAACTACTTGTTGGGGCATAGATGCCAGATCGAAAAGCGCTTTCAGCACCAGAGGCATAATCGCGAACGACCAACCGGGCCCGACAAAGGATTGCAGTCTTTTGGGTAAAAACCCACCTCGCCGTGAGGATTTGCACTTCATGCTCAACTGCGATGGTGCGACCCTTCTTCTCAGGATAGGTGTCACCAACTTCCAATGTCTCCAGTTGCACCATTTCTGTGCGAATGCCTTCGACAACCTGGTCATGCGCTATGGGGTGCCCTGTCAATTCATCACACACACCCTCAGCGATCTGTACATCGATTTGGTTCCCCCAAACTGGACAGAGATGGAAGAACCTTGACCTTCTGCCTCGACTTCACCCACAACCTCATCACACCTGGAGGTACCTGCCAAGAACTCATTCATTGCCTCGTTCTGGGCATGCTGGATGACTCGATCCAAGATCATGTCAAGGTCCATAGGTTCTCCACCCTGTTCTGGAGCTAAGCTCCCATCTGGCAAAGGAACTTCGACCTCCATGTCTCCATCCCCTTCTTCACCTGCAACCTCCCCACCTGCGCCTACACCACCTGAGTCCTCAAGTGGCCTCTTCACTGACCTCTCCGGATCATGAACTGGTGGCGGAGGAAGAGCTTGTTCGCCACTTCTGGGATCAACATAAGCACCCGCAAGCAGAGGAAACAAGACGTTCACGTCATACCATGGTGATTGGTCCCGAACTCTGAAAGTGTGACCCTTGATCACTTCCCTCACTCCAGTGGAGTCAACAGAAACAGGGTAAACCAAACAACCACCACCTGTGCTGTACCTGGCCCCCAAATAAGCACCAAGCACCATCCTCTGGCCTTGCCACTTCTGTGCATGAACTGGCTTCACAAAACCCATGATCCCAAAAGGAAAAGTTCGTGGTATCTGACCTCCTCTCTTCTCTCTCAGAGATTCCAAGGGAGTGCCACCCCACTTGCGCTCACAAAAACCATTGAAAGTCCTATAGGTGTACCCAACCAGATACCCCATCAGAGGTGATTCCAAAGCCAACCTCATGCCTAAATGAGCTTCCAAAGCCAACCAATTGGTGAACAAACCTTCTTTCATGATCCCCACAGCACGTTCTACACCCTTGGCCTGTGGACGATTCTCTGACATGTTCCTCCAATGGAAGCCTCGACAGTTGGACTCTCTCAGAGACCTCTGCATCAGGTTCAGCAAGTAGGCTTCGTTGTCAGTGGCCACTTCCAAAGACAAACCTCCAACACCGATCTCGTTCAAAACAGAGACAGTGGACTTCACGTCCTTCTCCCGGTCACCATACCAATCATGCCAGTCTGAATCATGAGCAGAACCAACACCTTCCAGTGCCTTCCACCTACAAACATGATGTCAGCTGCAAGATCACATGCGCTTGACTCCTGGTCCTTTCGTCTCCTGGCGGGCGTCCGACCTCTTGCCTGAACACACGCATCACACCCTCGGTCATATGGCCAATGTCCTCGACACTCATGCTCATACAACAAACTGCCCTCCAGCTCGGGTGATGGATCCTCCAAATCCGACGAATGTGGACCTTCAGGGTCATAATGGGGCAACTCCCCAGGTGGTTCATCGACATCGGAACCTGCCTCAACCATCGGACCTTCAGCCTCCGCCTCCGGACCTACCTGATCGGGGATGGAAGGAGTGTACTCCTCCATGTCATCACTCTCCAAATCAACGGTTTTCGGTAACCCACGGAACATCCGGACCCGTTCGGACACCTCCGAACCTCCCGGAAACCCTTCCTGGTTCCTCCAGAACGCAAGCAAAGAGGCAAAATCCTTCTCAGATCTCCCAAAAACCTCCGAAAAAGCCTCTGGATCCTCGTCCGGACCTTCGGAAAAGAAGTCAAAATCCAAAAACTGGCTCTCACAGCTCACAAAAGAAGAGTTCGACTCAACCTCCCAGGTGTCAAACTCAGAAGTGAAAGAAGCAAAATCTCCCTGATCATCCTCATTCCCCTTCTCAAACGTATCGGGCTCATCATCAAAAGACAAAGTTGGAAAAGAAACAGGCTCATCACCACAAAAACGAAACATACGACAAACATACGAAAACGACTGCAAAGAACCAGGCTGAGTGCTCCTCACTTCTCGACCCTTAGTTCTGGACTTCCCTGCCTTAGAAACTGGTCGTGCCTGTTCAGTCACTGCATCGTTTTGCGTTTCACTCTCGTTTCTGTCGTTTCTGTACTGTGTATGTGGTGTGACCGTACTCTCAGTGCTTCGTGCTTCAGGGGTCTGGGTCTCTCTGATCTCTTCTTCTGGGTTCGATGGAGGACCTTTCACCTCATCAACCTCCATTGGAGCAGGACCTTTGGTCGTTTTGCCTCCGCGTCTGGCCTGACTAGGCTTTGAAATCAGATCAACCTTCAGCCACCAAGCACGTTCACAGATCCTCAAAGGAAAGTTGGTGCCCTGACCATTC